TCTTTTCTATCTTTCTATTGTCATATATTTGCTATCAAGCCATACAGCTTAATTCAATGATAACATTCAGAAATGTAACTGCTACCACATTTTCATCATGTTCTTATGGTGGTTCCATCATTGATGACAGATAGAAATAGGCATACTGAGATAGTCTAATCCGTATTATATTCTTGCAATTACACAACATATCAGGCTCCATTTGGAAATCACTTTTAATGTGAAGTAATTTGCTATTTTCTTTGTTTACAGTTAAATATCGGTTGCTCTTGGATATTGCCAATGAAATGAAGAAACCAAAGTAAACAGTTGAGTGACCCATATTTTCCCCCATTATACTCATAAATATATGTCATATTGTAGTGAATGGTAGTGAACATCAAGTGAGGACAATCGAATGTATTTGAACAGTTAAATTACAGTATCACTAAATAGAATCTGAGAACCACCATATAGTGAATAGTTCATTCCACAATATGTCAATCAATCGTCTCAGACTTCACTGGTACTTCGTTTCCACCATCAATCATTCACTGTTCTCATTCTCCTTTCTTTGGTTGATCTTCTTAACTGTTTCTCTATCACCAGACATTTCACTTTCGATTGATGATGATGATGATGATACATACTACTTACTTATATCTGTCGACATCAATAGTACACATCATAATTTGAATGAACGAGTTACACTTTACGTTGCATTCAGATGACTATGAATAACTTCAAGTATAAGTGTTTTGTAGGTGTATAACATTCAGAACACTTTGAAACATTCCATATAAGATACTCATTGAAATACATAATCATTGACTTAAATGATCAATAATCATCTGATTGTTTCATTCATTTCAACAACACATCTCTTCATCATTGAGTAAATGTATGTTAAACCTCTTAATGGTATGTTTATGAAATGTAACAGTGAACACGTTGTATATGATGATTACTCTTCTAAATGAACGTTAGATTCGCTTGCTAAACTCTTCTAGTAATCCCCAGGCTAAATCTACACACTGACTTGAACATGAGAGAAATGGCGTGAAATATGGAAGAAACAGTTTACTCCAAATGTTCGTTTATGTACAGAATATGTAGAGTATGTATAGTAATTTAGATGACCTCGGGATTCCGGAACACTGCTGAACATAGTAGCAGGATGTGTGATCCCCCAATCAGAAATAGGACATGTGACTTTTGAGTTTCTAGATGTTTCTAGCAAACCGTCTATGGGATGCTGATTGGATAAGATGCTTCACAGTATTGTCAGAGTCTTCTATGGCTTTATTTTGAGGTGTTTTCTGGATCGCCTCACACAGTATAGAATCCGTAACGCTGTTTTATTTATTTCCTTTTCAGATAATACACAGAAGAAATGAAATGAAACTTCAGTATTACTAACCAGTATTACTCACATTCTTCAATCATCTGATTACACTTTTTTTTTGTTGTTATAAATAATCAATTTAATGTAAAACTACAAAAATAATCAGTTCATTTTAAATCAATAAACAAACAATGCTCACAACTATTTGGATCTGTGTCTTTTCAAATAGCACCCTGAAATGAGACCATTATTACGTAAGTTGGGAAAACAATAGATGAGATGAGATGACATGGATTGCTGATAGGACTAAGTAATCTTACACACAATCTTATGGTTTCTTTCCTATTGTGGGTGTGTGCTACTGATATCGTTCGATTTAAGTAGTATGTATTATCAATAGATAGTGAAATAGCTGGCGGCAGATGGCTAAGAAGATCGAAGAATGTTCCGTATTGAAACGAACGAACAATGAAATCCGAGACGATTGATCTAGATTTTTCAAATGAGGTATTTACTGTATGGATCTCAGATTCTGTAATTTTGTACTCAAATACATTCGATTGTCCCTACTTGTGTTCTCGTTCACAACAATATTGTCTATTTCATACTCACCTCATGAAATAGATATTCAATTCTATGTTTCACGAAGTATTCACTAAGGATGTAAAACCACTCATCGATAACACAGTCACTGATCGCTTTGATCAGATGGATCTTGTCACATTAGATTTGTTGTGAATTCACCATCGATGTCCCCCAAATGCCTTGTACGGCCGAGAGTGAGGAGAGTTCGCTCTCTATAAATCCTCTCACATAGTCACGTGCATACAATCACTACCAGGCATGTCCTACTCACTGCCTTTATTGACGAGGGTGTTGTTTACGAAATTGAGAGGACGAAAAGCGAATGTCCGGCGACTTAACCGTGTTTGTGGACACGGAGAGTCCACGTAGGGGAGTTGGAAAACCTTTATTCCAAATTGGGCATACGTAACACGTGTCCCAGACATCTCAAATGAAGAGGTTTCACTACTTCATCAATCGATTTGCCATTCTTACATAGTCTCCGTTTCCTAACAACTGTATTACTTACTCGGCGGTCCCACGATATACGAGCAGCGCTTCCAAGACACCTATAATCGAATATTAGTAACCTAAGAATATCCTCTACTCTTACCAGCCATGTTTCACTGACTTAAAGTAGGACGGAACGAATTGCTGAGCTGTAAACCCGTCCTTTGGTTGATAGACGGATATCTCGCCTACACCAAAAATGACGCAAGTTGTCAAAAGCTAGTCGAGCCTTCTGTATCCATGCTGAGATTTCGACACAAACCAGACCACAAGGGCTGATGAGACTCTCAAGATACGTGAAGAGGTAGACACGCTCAACTACTTCACTTCCTATCATCAGTTTGGGCGTCGATGCAACCCAATCGTGAAGTAACATTTTGCATTTCGATGAGGGGAAACGCATGCCGAACATGCCTGCATTGTTGCTTATAGTGTTCAGAAGACTCTGTATTTTGTCAACGTCTTCATCATATAGAACTATGCCATTAGCATATTCTAAGTCAACAAGTTATAACACAAAAACGATTTAATTTCAAATATAATGATAACCCCCATTATGATATTTACGTTTTAGCCATTGTTGTTGATTGTTACCCATCAATAATCTGTATCCAATGAAAATCTATTCCATTTTGTTTTTCTTAAATTAAGATTCCCAACACTTTGTTTTTTATCAAAAACAATTCACAATGTGTCTTTAATGAAAAATAAACAAGAAAAATTTAATTTCTATGTGAAAAGAAAAAGAAAATATTCTACAATATAATAAAGTACATGTAAAATAAATGAAGAATTTAAAAGAAACAAAGAAAGAAAGAAAAAAGAAAGGGCAGGGTCTTAGTCCTGATTGTAGTCATGTTGATACTTGTGACAATATTAAACAGTCAACATCATGTTATAACAAGATATTCTGAATAATATATCAGCTATTTAAAACAAGAATAGTAATAAGGAATAAATGAATGAATGCTCTCACATGCCCACGCGTATATAGCCACTACCAGCGAAGTCTTACTCACTATCTTCGCGCGGCATCCAGGCAGTATCACAGCCCTCACACAAATCAAATGAGATTTGTGTGGCGCATATATATCTGGTGCCCCATTGTACCAGTATGTCTGTGTTCAAATAAATAAATAAATAAATAAATATTAATACTACTTATATGAATATCAGTAGCTCATATCATAAAGTGAACAAACAATGAAATCAACTTCATTACAACATCATGTAACAATCCATCAAACAATATCCAAGCATACTAATCATAGTAATTAAAGCACAATCATAATCATATTCTATGTATTAATTTGCTTTATTTACTTTTATAAAAAGTAAATAATAAAAATACAATTTATCATAAGTTACAATACATAATTTGCACCTAATTTATACCTAATTCCCTATCCTTAATAGACAATACAATTGAATATACAAAAATCGAATGAGACAATTATTCATAGGAAAGCATATAAAGAATCATTATATTGAGAAGAACTACACAATCACAAATATGTGCGTTTCAAGTATACGTGACAAGGGGCGGAGGGGGGGGTGTTGATTAGGCGTAAGTAAATAAACAAGTCAGTAAGTTGAAGTATAACATCAGTAATTAGGATGTATGTAATGAACTATATTGCTGATGAATGTCATATTGAGCATGTACACATTCACACACACACACACACTCTGAGAATGATAAACAACATTGAAAGAATCATTGTAAATAAACACAATCCACTTTATATTATCATTCCTATATGTATTAATATGATTATGGAGAATGTAATAAATCTGGCAAATATACAAATTAAATCTTATTTGATCACAGTCTGTCAGTAAGGAAAAAGAAGAAGAACAAAAAGAAAAACAATCAAAGAAGAAGGAATAAAATAATTTCTATATAAATAAGTATATAAGTAATATAGTGAAGTTATGAAAATTATTGAAATGGAATGATATATAGAGATATTATTATCATGACAATTACAATGATTATAGGTAGTATAGAAGCAGATATGAAAAGAATGAATAACCATTGGACAGAGTTGGAAAGGATTGCTCAGGATAGGGTTGAATGGAGAGTGCTGATGGACAGTCTATGCTCCTTCACGAGGAGTAACAGGTGTAAGCAAGTAAGTAAGTAAGTAAGTAAGGTAGTATATAGTAGAATAATAAAGTTTGTCTCATGAACTGATGTGATATGCATAGTTTCAGTATAACAATGAATCACACATAATAAATTAAACCATCATCGTTTTCAATGGGAATTGAGAACAAAAGATAAATAGAAAGTTTTTCTTTACTTTTTTTTGTTTCACTCGGAATTGACACAACTCTAAACATCATAACGGAACTGTCATCTCAATAAACAATAACGACAAGTGAAATGATGAAAAAGGCGCTTAAACAATAAAAAAAGAAAATTGCAATGCATATACACTATTACATGTATGTATAGATCTATATAAACTATTGTATGTGTGTATGTATGTATGTGTGTGTATGTATAGAGCATAGTAACAAGACAGATCAGTATCCATATAAACTTATCTAGATATGTATACATGTATAGGTGTATAGGTAACAAGATAGATTTATATTAATCCTCTCTAGTTCTTCGATCTTTAATAGGAATAGATAATTGAGATGAAATAGTTGATGTATTCTTTTCATGAATAGATTTATTCAATGGACAATGTTTTGAATGATCTATAGATCTATTTAAATTTGGTGTAAATGAATTCACATTAGGAATTTGAATTTCATTAGAAATTTTTATAAAACTAGGTCGATTCATTGGTTCATCATGCCAACAATGATTCATTAATGTACGTAACCATACTGGCATTAAATCAGGTGCAGGTAATCTATAACCTGAAAAACAAATTGGAAGACAAGACTCAAACTACATTTAATCAATTTCTTTAAAACTACCTAATTAACTATCCTTTATATCGAATCAACTGATTCAATATGTAGAAACTTCTTAATTGTGACATCCGTAACTGATTGTCATTCGTGAAACAAACATATTTGAAATCATCTCGTCCATAGGAATTACTTTACTTTACTCCCATTATTCGCTGGCTGCATTGATGTATACTGCTCACATGAAAATGTATTGAATGTTCTAGCAACCTGTAAGTGTATCTTATTTCAAAAGTGATATTATAGGAACTTTAAATATTTAGCCAATATGATTAGTGAATTCCCTGAATAAAACCTTATTACTTGATATCATTTCAAGTTAACACTGTGCTTGACAACCTTAACTAATTTGAAGTAGTATATCATCACTGTGTCACATGATACATGCATTTTGGTAGATCTGATTGACACTATTTCGGTAATTACTGGTTTGTTGTTTCATGCTCTGTGTTTTCTGTTTTACTTTCTCTAGTAATAGATAATAATCATTAATTCAATCTGGCAAAAGAAATCACCTTAAATACACCATTCATAAATTGATAGGGTGTCCATTTAAGAAAAAATTAAAAGTTCCCGTCTGATACATTGGATCGCTGTAATACATGTCCTACGCAAACCATTACTTCAACTAGTGTATACTTAAAACATATCTTCTATCACATGTTTGTTCTTTACATCTAATGTTACTATGCATATCAAATTGATCATACCTGTAAACTAGCGTGAATCTGTAATTGTTATTTTCAGAATATATATAACTATATATATTATTCAAGTGTTAACAGATGAATAAGAGAATGTTCTACTTCACATGTTCATTTATACTGTTACATAATCGGAATAATTTGATTGAATAATTTATTTTGTCTTCAAACCAATCATCAGTGTTTAACAAAAGTTGTATCGTGGATAAGACGCTTAAATGCTCTTGTACGGCCGAGAGTGGGGAGAGTTCGCTCTCACTCTACAAATGCTTTCACATAGCCACGTGCATATAACCACTACTGCAGGTCGCAAGCTCAGGTAAAGGAGCGGGGATTGGCCATGGGGTTAGTGACCCCATCCCGTAGCAATCTAACTCGCTAAAAAAAAACACTAACCAGAAAAAATTATTCAAAATATGGTTTTGGTAGAACGAATAAATTGGCCTCTCTGGAAGCTCGAATAAGCTATGTGGGCTTAATATAGCAACCGACATTACAGATTTCAATTAGAATAGTAACAAAACACCCCATTCATTCAAATGTTACTAAGGGAAATCTGACCGAAGCTACACATTGTTACATAAAGTCACAAATTACCTTGTACTTAATAAGCAAAATTACAGAAGATGATTTCATTTCCATTTACACATTTTTAATCTATGCCGTTGAAAGTTATTAGAGAACGTATGCTACAAAACTCACTACAGGTAGGAGCAGGAGGAGGAGGACGACGTTAGTTGTACCACGACTTGATTACTGAGAATTATAAATTAGCATTTCTGACAACTGCCACCAAACATCAAACATTAGTAAATAAGCTTCTATTACTACTACTACTACTACTACTGCGAAAGATACATTACACTAATTAACAAGAAACAATTATAGTGTATGTTATTATGTTAAGCCCATATAACTTATTCTGGCTTTCGGACTGCACATTCTATTCATTCTACTTGAGTTACATTCTGACCTTGTTAATTACTTCCTTATCAATCTTGACTGTTCTTATATGAGCACGTAGGTGTATGTACACTTCTTATCCCATTACTCATCACATGTATGTAACTTAGTTTTGTGGAACTATAAATATTGACTAACGTTTGGTTAAAGAGGAGTTGGCTTACACCCAACATCTCCACTGCACGTCGTTTCTCTTCTCTCTGTTCCGTTCGCTTCATATACAAAATATATGCATCCAAAAGTCCACTCTCATCATTTGACTTATTCAATTCCGTTATTGACTAACGCGATTTAAGTCGATGATTGTATACGATGACAGGCGACTTATATATTTGAACAACCAACATTCATGCGATCTACTTGGAGTCAGATCTCAGGTCACTAAGGTGGAGAGCCCTTCGACAAAAACTTCCGATCGAAATGACGACAGAACAAAAGGGCCTCACAAAAAGTGGTGAGCCCACCGCTGACGATGAACCTAACGGGCCTCACACAATCAATCTTTACAACCATTATCGGAATTCGATCTATCAAATATGAATGTTTATTCTATGGATATGAAAATGAGAGTAAAGTAATCCTTACCGATGAATACAATTTTTCGCTTCTAAATACATCATTCCATTAGCAGCATCTAAACTCATTTGAAGTAGTTTCATAACAGGTAATGCATTTTTTGATTTACGTAAATGATTTAAAAGAGAACCACCTTAATAAGGAAGATAAAAAGAGAAACCAATAGATTAGAACAATATGAATTATTAACTGATCAAATGAAAAGAGTTAACATGATCCTCCCAATCAAGTGAATATATAGTTGCATATACCTAACTACTAACTATATGTGAACTTAATAACAGACAGATTGTTATAGAAAAGTCAAATCTCTATACGTCAACTACTGAATAATATTAAGTAGTATGATGTGATATACACAAAAAAGATAAACATTGAATGAAGAAGACCGTGGAGTTGTCAAGTGAATAACTCACTCACTTCTATTTGACAGTTGTGCTGATCATATTGTCCAGAAAGCCCACAGAATGAAACAACAAAAAAATCAACTAATCACAACAGTAGATTCACTTGAATTTTATAGTAATTCACTTAAAAAGCGTTCACACTTTCCCATTGTTTATATACAAGATTAGATCAGTCAGCTATAGCATACATGGAAATTTAACAGAAACCTAAGAGCTACCTATAGTTTCATACTTTCGGTTGAGTTCTAAACCGCAGTTGTGAGTAAAATTCGACGAAAGTATTTCGTTCCATTTGGAACCAGTTGATAGAATATATATATGTATTGTAGTGCAGACGTTCATAAACTAGTTTTTCAAAGTCATTCCTTTAGTTCTAGATTCATTTCATCCTTATTGAAACAATAATTTTCCTGTCACTTATCTTCATCTTCTACGAAACCATATTTGTTCCATTTCCAATGATATCCTAGCCAAATTCAACAGATAGTTTGGTACATAAATGTAAAAGTCCCCGTTACGATACCACATTAAAACCATGGTAGCGAAATAAGATTAAGAATAGATCACGTGATTACGATCAGAATTTATTAGGGTGAAATAAAGTAGAAAACGGTTTCGAAATTGGAGGTCCTGAGTAAGGCAAATATCAATTATGTTTACGCTATCTTTGTTTTTTTTACCGATTCTCAAACAAGGTACACAATGTTTATAACTGTTGGTTGAGAAAGTTGAGGCAGTATATAACCCGGTAGTTCTCATCTATTAATATGGTTCAAACTAACTTTCACTGAATTCATGAGCTGATATCAAGTTACTAACTTATCGTCTATACGTTTTTTCGAATCTACTTGCAGACCAGTAAACGTCGTTTACGGTAGATAGTCGTTGGATATGCGTAATACACGTTTGAACACGTCAGTTCCTGAAGATCTGCTACTTCATCAACCACTCCGTATTTTTCAACAGTAACCCTAAAGCTACTAAGTCGATGGTTACAGCATGCTCGACTAGCCTTTCAAAGACATTGGTGGTCAACGTCCAACCATAAAATACTGTCAATTCGTATACTACAACCTTTCTCGTTTGAAAATGTTACTACTTATAGCTAGTAAGTAGTAAGAATAACAAATTAACATATATGATACAATTGTAAGCTAAACGATGAAATATGCTAGAATTCATGATGAAAAACATGTCAACTTCACCAACCTGGAACATACTCCATCACAATCATAATTGGATAAGATTGAACTGCAATACCAACTAATTTGACAATATTTGGATGATTGAAATTTAAAGCAGTTGTTTCACCTTGGAGAAATTTCCGACGTAAATCTGATGCTGTCATATCGACACGACAAGTTTTCACTGCAACTTCATTTCCATTATATACACCACGGTAAACATCACCAAAGTTACCCTGTGAAAAGAGAGATGCAGAATAGAATAAATAGTACACTTTACCACATCAATACAGAAAGTACAAACGACTGACAGTTGTCGATTATTCCTTCGGACCCATTCATCTATGTATTAGAAAAGCGATTGGAACCAGGTGTTTCCTTTGTTGTAGCATGACCAAGAATTATCATCTGTCATTAGAGACATTCTAACAAGATCGAGAGTTGTGTATCATTTTCACAGTTAGCTCACAGAATTCTTCTATTCCATGATGAGATAATGTGAAAATAAACAAACAACCCCAATGCTTAATTCAGATCGCCAACATGAAGACAAATCTTGTCTCCAAATTTAAAACACAGAAATAAGGCGTCACTGTAGACGGCAGATAGACGTATCTAGAACATATGCCAATAACCCTAATCGATGAAAATTCACATTCTGAGACTGACTTGGCACTGTGACACAATAACTTAGGCATAATGAATGGTAACTTTGCGATTCATATCGCACAGGCTGATAATGGTGTTCGGGACTTAAATGGCTGGGCTAGGCGAGGCGGGAATCAGGACCAACAAGGACTCTGGGCTGCTCGCACGTGTTTTACGCATCCTCGGTTCGATCGATAATTCACTGCTCTCTGATTGGCGGTATTATTACGTTATCCAGTGACAGGGCACTCATTCCACAACTTATAACAATAATATAAAGACATTACAAAATAATAAACATAAGAATGAGACTACTAATAAATCGGTTAATAATTCGTGAGTTCCAATGTCTTAAAAAACATACTTGACCAATTTTTTGTAGCAGTTGTACATCACGATTGTCTAGTTCCCAATCAGGTCTTGAAATTGGTGTAATAAGACATGCTCCTGATTTTGCTGTCACGGGAGTTTGAGTTTTCATATGATATTCAATCAGTTCCCTGGAAAATTTTAGTTATTAAACAAACAGCAAGTGTGAATATTCAACGGAAATACATGCTCACCAATTACATTACTTAAATGATTGAAAAGTTTTTGTACTAATTTGTTTACGAACAATACATAGACCCGTTATTGTTGAACTCAAAACACATATAACATATTTCGAAAGAAACACTACCCTACTCACAAGTAGTAACCATCACTGAACTAAAAATACTCACTGGATAGTCTCAACAATGTCTCTGTAAGACATGAATCAAAGCGCATGTTGTGTTGATAAAACTTAGTATTAGAACACACACATTACTGTGCTATCTGTCTATGAGATACGACATTATTCTTAACCAGAAAATCCGGGTGAAAATACGTGTATTGAACCTCGAAGTAATACCCACATTGTGTGGAAACACACCAAAACTTCGTGAACAAGTGGCTAATATTTATGTGTTTTTCATTTAGGATGCGACCGGTAGAAACATTCCGTAACTCAGATTGCATACTGCATTCATTCACATATATCCATCTCGTATGTGAAAATTTAAAAACACGTTAGCCAGTTATAGTATCCGGTTGGAAACTGACTATAATAAAATATTCTTTGTCTTCGTTTTGCATATGACTTTCATACAAGTGGACGCTAGAAACCTAATCAACAACTTGACTGTGTAGTATAGAAACAGCTACTAACTGAGCTCACATTCCTCACAGCGTGTCCATAAGATTACCAAAAGAAGCAGAGGTTTCTAAAGAAAATGTGCCATCATTCAACAAAATGCACGACTAAGAAACATTAACAGTTTAGTGCCAGATATAGTTTTGTTCAGTGGAAATTAGAAAAGACTAGACGAAAGAAAACGACTACTACTACTACTACTACTACTACTACTTACCTTATTGTAGAGAAATGACCATCTTCTAAATGCCAACCTTCACCTGACTCTGGTCCACCATATAGAATAAAATGTCTATGACCATGCCAAAACACAGATAAAACCATACGTAAAACAGTCCCATCAATATTATGATCTTTATTTAATATTGTTTCGTTATGATTACCATTGATTAAATCACCATTAGTTCCATTCCAATGGGCTATGGTATCACGTTCACTGGAACGTCGTTTACTTGTTTGTCGAACAAGGAAATCCCCTTGATTCTGTAAGAGACTGTAATAGCAAGAAACAATGCGGTACAATAAAACTCTTGATTCTAATCTTCATATGCAATACATATAACTTAACAAGGGAAGAGGTTATTATTACAACTGCACAATCCGAAAGACATTTGCGATCAAATTATGAAGTCACTTTCTCTTCTACACACTCAAAACAGATTAGAATGTATGATTGAAAAAATACCACACTTTAGAATAATTAAGGGTACCATATATGATACTGTAATGAACGAGAACACAATTAGGGCAATCGAATGTACTTGGACAGATAACTACACAATCTCTTAGTAAAATCTGAGAACTATACAGTAAATACTTCAGTTGCAAAATGTCAATCAATCGTCTTAGATTTCACTGTTCCTCCAGTTCCACCACGGCAATCATTCTCTCTGATCACATTCTCTCCTCTTCGATCTTCTTAACCTTCTGATGTCAAGTATTTCACTTTCGATTGATGATGATACATACTACTCATATCGATCGACATCAGTAGCACACACTACAATGCAATTGTTCATTGAACACTCCATAAATAGTTACGCCAGCTACTAGTGTTTTATAAATTCAAATAAAAAATGATCAGAATGCTGCACGAAATACAAACTTGTTGATATTTAAAGCCATAAGCAAAATTTAATAATTAAACTATGAGTGTACTACTTCATAACAGATTGCCATATCCTGATGAGACTTATGAATGGTAACCGTTGAGATCTGTTTATGGAACAATCCTATGCATATATCTTTATTGTATAATTGTTATGTCATTAAACTATACATATTCATGTTCCTCTTATTACACGATCTACATTGCCCTATAAACTTTTATTATACGATTTACCAGCATTGAGTTATGCCCAGTCTATTCATTACAGTCTCCCTTATTCATAGCCACTTTTGACTGGATCTTCTACAAATGTGTATTTTCTATTTTGCGCTATGATGTGGTCTGTTTGATTTGTATGTAGGGGCACAAGACTATAAGTTATAAGTCAGTAACAACGTAGAACTTCGTACGTATGTACACCAAATCGAGTTGCCATGCCACGTTAGCACACAGATACAATTGTCAATTTAAATCCCGTAGTGGTAGAGGTAGTAGTAGTAGTGGTAGAGGTAGTAGTAGTAGTAGTAGTAGTAGTAGTAGTAGTAGTAGTAGTAGTAGTAGTAGTAGTAGTAGTAGTAGTAGTAGTAGTAGTAGTAGTAGTAGTAGTAGTAGTAGTAGTAGTAGTAGTAGTAGTAGTAGTAGTAGTAGTAGTAGTAGTAGTAGTAGTAGTAGTAGTAGTAGTAGTAGTAGTAGTAGTAGTAGTAGTAGTAGTAGTAGTAGTAGTAGTAGTAGTAGTAGTAGTAGTAGTAGTAGTAGTAGTAGTAGTAGTAGTAGTAGTAGTAGTAGTAGTAGTAGTAGTAGTAGTAGTAGTAGTAGTAGTAGTAGTAGTAGTAGTAGTAGTAGTAGTAGTAGTAGTAGTAGTAGTAGTAGTAGTAGTAGTAGTAGTAGTAGTAGTAGTAGTAGTAGTAGTAGTAGTAGTAGTAGTAGTAGTAGTAGTAGTAGTAGTAGTAGTAGTAGTAGTAGTAGTAGTAGTAGTAGTAGTAGTAGTAGTAGTAGTAGTAGTAGTAGTAGTAGTAGTAGTAGTAGTAGTAGTAGTAGTAGTAGTAGTAGTAGTAGTAGTAGTAGTAGTAGTAGTAGTAGTAGTAGTAGTAGTAGTAGTAGTAGTAGTAGTAGTAGTAGTAGTAGTAGTAGTAGTAGTAGTAGTAGTAGTAGTAGTAGTAGTAGTAGTAGTAGTAGTAGTAGTAGTAGTAGTAGTAGTAGTAGTAGTAGTAGTAGTAGTAGTAGTAGTAGTAGTAGTAGTAGTAGTAGTAGTAGTAGTAGTAGTAGTAGTAGTAGTAGTAGTAGTAGTAGTAGTAGTAGTAGTAGTAGTAGTAGTAGTAGTAGTAGTAGTAGTAGTAGTAGTAGTAGTAGTAGTAGTAGTAGTAGTAGTAGTAGTAGTAGTAGTAGTAGTAGTAGTAGTAGTAGTAGTAGTAGTAGTAGTAGTAGTAGTAGTAGTAGTAGTAGTAGTAGTAGTAGTAGTAGTAGTAGTAGTAGTAGTAGTAGTAGTAGTAGTAGTAGTAGTAGTAGTAGTAGTAGTAGTAGTAGTAGTAGTAGTAGTAGTAGTAGTAGTAGTAGTAGTAGTAGTAGTAGTAGTAGTAGTAGTAGTAGTAGTAGTAGTAGTAGTAGTAGTAGTAGTAGTAGTAGTAGTAGTAGTAGTAGTAGTAGTAGTAGTAGTAGTAGTAGTAGTAGTAGTAGTAGTAGTAGTAGTAGTAGTAGTAGTAGTAGTAGTAGTAGTAGTAGTAGTAGTAGTAGTAGTAGTAGTAGTAGTAGTAGTAGTAGTAGTAGTAGTAGTAGTAGTAGTAGTAGTAGTAGTAGTAGTAGTAGTAGTAGTAGTAGTAGTAGTAGTAGTAGTAGTAGTAGTAGTAGTAGTAGTAGTAGTAGTAGTAGTAGTAGTAGTAGTAGTAGTAGTAGTAGTAGTAGTAGTAGTAGTAGTAGTAGTAGTAGTAGTAGTAGTAGTAGTAGTAGTAGTAGTAGTAGTAGTAGTAGTAGTAGTAGTAGTAGTAGTAGTAGTAGTAGTAGTAGTAGTAGTAGTAGTAGTAGTAGTAGTAGTAGTAGTAGTAGTAGTAGTAGTAGTAGTAGTAGTAGTAGTAGTAGTAGTAGTAGTAGTAGTAGTAGTAGTAGTAGTAGTAGTAGTAGTAGTAGTAGTAGTAGTAGTAGTAGTAGTAGTAGTAGTAGTAGTAGTAGTAGTAGTAGTAGTAGTAGTAGTAGTAGTAGTAGTAGTAGTAGTAGTAGTAGTAGTAGTAGTAGTAGTAGTAGTAGTAGTAGTAGTAGTAGTAGTAGTAGTAGTAGTAGTAGTAGTAGTAGTAGTAGTAGTAGTAGTAGTAGTAGTAGTAGTAGTAGTAGTAGTAGTAGTAGTAGTAGTAGTAGTAGTAGTAGTAGTAGTAGTAGTAGTAGTAGTAGTAGTAGTAGTAGTAGTAGTAGTAGTAGTAGTAGTAGTAGTAGTAGTAGTAGTAGTAGTAGTAGTAGTAGTAGTAGTAGTAGTAGTAGTAGTAGTAGTAGTAGTAGTAGTAGTAGTAGTAGGAGTAGTAGTAGTAGTAGTAGTAGTAGTAGTAGTAGTAGTAGTAGTAGTAGTAGTAGTAGTAGTAGTAGTAGTAGTAGTAGTAGTAGTAGTAGTAGTAGTAGTAGTAGTAGTAGTAGTAGTAGTAGTAGTAGTAGTAGTAGTAGTAGTAGTAGTAGTAGTAGTAGTAGTAGTAGTAGTAGTAGTAGTAGTAGTAGTAGTAGTAGTAGTAGTAGTAGTAGTAGTAGTAGTAGTAGTAGTAGTAGTAGTAGTAGTAGTAGTAGTAGTAGTAGTAGTAGTAGTAGTAGTAGTAGTAGTAGTAGTAGTAGTAGTAGTAGTAGTAGTAGTAGTAGTAGTAGTAGTAGTAGTAGTAGTAGTAGTAGTAGTAGTAGTAGTAGTAGTAGTAGTAGTAGTAGTAGTAGTAGTAGTAGTAGTAGTAGTAGTAGTAGTAGTAGTAGTAGTAGTAGTAGTAGTAGTAGTAGTAGTAGTAGTAGTAGTAGTAGTAGTAGTAGTAGTAGTAGTAGTAGTAGTAGTAGTAGTAGTAGTAGTAGTAGTAGTAGTAGTAGTAGTAGTAGTAGTAGTAGTAGTAGTAGTAGTAGTAGTAGTAGTAGTAGTAGTAGTAGTAGTAGTAGTAGTAGTAGTAGTAGTAGTAGTAGTAGTAGTAGTAGTAGTAGTAGTAGTAGTAGTAGTAGTAGTAGTAGTAGTAGTAGTAGTAGTAGTAGTAGTAGTAGTAGTAGTAGTAGTAGTAGTAGTAGTAGTAGTAGTAGTAGTAGTAGTAGTAGTAGTAGTAGTAGTAGTAGTAGTAGTAGAGTAGTAGTAGTAGTAGTAGTAGTAGTAGTAGTAGTAGTAGTAGTAGTAGTAGTAGTAGTAGTAGTAGTAGTAGTAGTAGTAGTAGTAGTAGTAGTAGTAGTAGTAGTAGTAGTAGTAGTAGTAGTAGTAGTAGTAGTAGTAGTAGTAGTAGTAGTAGTAGTAGTAGTAGTAGTAGTAGTAGTAGTAGTAGTAGTAGTAGTAGTAGTAGTAGTAGTAGTAGTAGTAGTAGTAGTAGTAGTAGTAGTAGTAGTAGTAGTAGTAGTAGTAGTAGTAGTAGTAGTAGTAGTAGTAGTAGTAGTAGTAGTAGTAGTAGTAGTAGTAGTAGTAGTAGTAGTAGTAGTAGTAGTAGTAGTAGTAGTAGTAGTAGTAGTAGTAGTAGTAGTAGTAGTAGTAGTAGTAGTAGTAGTAGTAGTAGTAGTAGTAGTAGTAGTAGTAGTAGTAGTAGTAGTAGTAGTAGTAGTAGTAGTAGTAGTAGTAGTAGTAGTAGTAGTAGTAGTAGTAGTAGTAGTAGTAGTAGTAGTAGTAGTAGTAGTAGTAGTAGTAGTAGTAGTAGTAGTAGTAGTAGTAGTAGTAGTAGTAGTAGTAGTAGTAGTAGTAGTAGTAGTAGTAGTAGTAGTAGTAGTAGTAGTAGTAGTAGTAGTAGTAGTAGTAGTAGTAGTAGTAGTAGTAGTAGTAGTAGTAGTAGTAGTAGTAGTAGTAGTAGTAGTAGTAGTAGTAGTAGTAGTAGTAGTAGTAGTAGTAGTAGTAGTAGTAGTAGTAGTAGTAGTAGTAGTAGTAGTAGTAGTAGTAGTAGTAGTAGTAGTAGTAGTAGTAGTAGTAGTAGTAGTAGTAGTAGTAGTAGTAGTAGTAGTAGTAGTAGTAGTAGTAGTAGTAGTAGTAGTAGTAGTAGTAGTAGTAGTAGTAGTAGTAGTAGTAGTAGTAGTAGTAGTAGTAGTAGTAGTAGTAGTAGTAGTAGTAGTAGTAGTAGTAGTAGTAGTAGTAGTAGTAGTAGTAGTAGTAGTAGTAGTAGTAGTAGTAGTAGTAGTAGTAGTAGTAGTAGTAGTAGTAGTAGTAGTAAAAGTACAAACAGTAGTCGGGAACATTAGGGCTTTGAACATGTTATTCAAGGAGTATGTTCCAGTGAAATGAATTGCCAAAGAGATAATTAAAAGGGTCATGAAGAATTCAGAAGATTAGAATTCGGTGGAACACAAAGACTGGCTGCACCACTGCACAATTGCAAGTAGGTCAATGACTTGTGATACAATGAAGTGAATCAGAGCAGACTTGTCTTTCACTTCTCCATATCAACTACATGTGATGAGTAAAAGTGTTCTGTTCAATAATATTAATAATAATAATAATAATAATCGTTATCGCATATTGAACTGAATCAATAAGAGAAACAAGAGATAAGACTATTCAATATTCAAGTATTCTCATATCAATGGCTTATTGATCATTCACTATACTGATCACGTAGATTATTCTTAGACATTTCACATGATCACAGATCATGTGAATTTCGATAGTTCACCTCAAATTCTATAAGATGATTGTCTGAAGTGATTTCCATAGAGTATTGTCTTCGAATGTCTGCTTTTGAAACTCTACTTCTCTTCATTATTATTATTATTATTATAATTCTGTTTAATTAAACGAAAATAGTTAACCTGATCCTATCAACATTGAAATCAGACATGAAATGAAATGAAATGAAATGAAATGTAAATGGTTCCATTTAGATGGTATGTTAACAAACAAAAATAGAAAGAACCAAATAAAGAAAAAGAGACTATTTAGATCATCATCATCATCATCATCATTTGTATAAGAATAATAATAAGAAAACAGAATAGAAATTTCTCAATAGATCCATCTCAGGTTGTTTTGATCTGAAATCAGTCTGCTATACATAACTTACTTACTTACGTCTGTTACTCCTGGTGGAGGAGCACAGACCTCTCACCATCATTCTTTACCAGAACACTGTTCTGAGCAATCCTTTCCAGTTCCTTGCAATTGCTAATCATCCTTTTCGTATCTGCATTTATTTCCCACCGTAATGTGTTCTTTGGCCTTCCTCTTTCCCGCTTCCCTTCAGGATTCTTAGCTAGATGTTATCTCATGATGCAGTTTGATGATTTCCGTATTGTATGTCCAATGCATTTCCATCGTGTTTTCCTATTTTCCTTATCAGTTGGAATCTAGTTTGTGCTCTGTCACAGAAGTCTATTGCCGATAGTATCCGGCATACATACACAAGCTTGTATATTAATTATGTAACTCACTTACACTTGACATCGTAACTACAACCACTGCCTGGCAAGTGCTACTTACTCCCTTCTCACAAACAGGGTGTTGTGTACGAAAATGGGAGGACGACAAGCGAATATCTAGCTTCTTATGTGGGTTGGTGGATATGGAGAGTCGATCTAGGGGAATCGGAAATCCAATGGTGCACAAGGGTTCCAGGATCCTATGAAAACAAATGGCACATGAACCTATTGTTGGTCACTGGCTACAGTGAGGCTGCATCTCGTAAACTTGCTCCACTGTACTGTGGATTAAACCTTTAATTCGGATGTTTGTTGCATCGCCCTCCTCAGTAAACCACCTGCTTCGGTTCGGGCAGCTGGGCAGTATCCCAGCCCTCACATAAATCATTAAATTTATATGGCTCATATCTATTTAGTGCTTCCTTGTACCAATGTTTATATGTACTGATCAGACTATGAAAATGCTCTTTATAGATGGTTATATCATTGATATTGATGATAGAGCAGAAGAAAATATTCATGAGACAAAGTTACTTAAATGTTGTTTCCAGGTGACAGATACGAGGAAGTTGTTTCCAATGGATCAGAATGATTCATTTACTTATCCGTAGTGGCAGGTAATACGAAATAATGAAACAAACTATGATTTCTCATCTATTCAATTCACTTTATGTTGTTTTACTTATATCTTCCGATTGTTATTTAGGACTGCAATCGATTAGTCTCTTGTTGGCATATGTGCCTCCTGTGTGGACTGCCTCGATATTGTCTTATGACACACAAGCATTCTAATGAAAGATGGATGATGATGGAAAGCAGTGGAGAGATACAAGTAAACAATGCCAATTGAATTTAAACTTCCTTCCATCACACTAGCAAATGATTATCAGGACACAGTAACTAAGTGGATAACATGATGGCGTTTGAAGTGGACAGTGGTGAGTTCGAGTCTCAGAGTGAACATTAACACGTCTGGGATGCAGATACATCCAGTTGACCAATTCCAGATAGGTCGAAACGTGTGTCCTGCATTCCACTACTAACCACTATTCATCTTTACTTATAAAGCTCATATATATTCAGTTTGAATAACACTACAATCTATCTAAATAGATTCCTGAGAATGTTTTGTAGCCATCAATAGACAAATAAGTTGGCAAATGTTGTTTATTCAATATCAAAAATATGACTTGAGTTAGTTTAAACGAATCATTTTCTTTCGTTTTCATTTCACTACTCATTGGTCAATCAATAATGTTTACTGATGACATAATAAAAGCACGAGAACAATGCGAGTGAGACAGAGACAGAGAGAGAACCGAGAGATCCGGTCGAGAGACACAGTGAGAAAGAGAGCGAGAGTGGTTCCATTCAAAATGTACCTTTCCATATTACTCTGTATAAACATGTTCTTCTTGCCTATTCATTCATTTCGACCATCTTGTAAGTCAAACGAATATGTTGTATTGTATGTTTATAAACATTTTTCCTCCATTGGTATTCTATTTCACGAAATGTAATTGAACATGGACACACACACACACACACAGAGTGAATTACAGAATGTCTTCATGTAATCTGAATAGCATACAGTATATGTGTAATTCATTAGGGAAATGTAAAATGAATCATCCGAGATGCATATTGTTCCTTCAGTTTCATATGCGATCACTTTCTGTGGACATTTCATCTTTGTTTCATGGTAACTGCTACTTATATCTGTCGACATGAGTAGTATACAGAACAGTTTGTCCAGTTTATTGCCATCATTAGGACAGGTTCAGACGGTTTTGCTAGGGAAACACATCTTCAGCCTTTGACCTACAGGTTTAATCCACTACATAGTGGAGTAACGTAAGGAGATGAAGTCCTATAATAACCGGTTACAAATATTGGTTCATATGCCTTTTTCCCTCCATGATCCTGAAGACCACGTGCACCATTGGTTTGGAGTGAGGGTTTTCCAACTGCCCTTGTTGGATCCTCCGTGTCCACCAACCAACCCGGTTAGAGCGCCGTATATTCGCTTTTCGTCCTATCAATTTCGTAAACAACAGTAGTGTTGTAAGAAAGTAGTAAGTAGGACTTCCCTGGTAGTGGTTGTATGTATATGACCATGTAAGATCATTGTGAGAGACAGACTGAGAGCTGACTTCTCCTACCCTCGGCCGTTGGGAAAACCATTTAACAAAGTAATGAAAACATTGATGACTCACAGATCGCATTTCCATTTGCATTTGCTAAACACAATCACGTCCATTGCACAGACATACTGGAACAAATATCATGTAAATATTTAATCATACTAACCATCATCACTTTCAAAATATCGATTGTTGGCTTTTATTAACCAAACATTAAATTGAATTGCAACTTGTATTTTCACATGAACACTGACTTACATATCTCCTCTTTGAATCGATTACTACAAAACTACAAAACCGTCCAGTGTAGTAATAAATATTTGCATAAGTAGTGCGGTTTACGATTTTCGCGTATTTGTTCTTACATTGATCTAACATAACTATTTTGTATGCTACTGATGTCGACAGATATGAGTAGTATGTATCACCATCAATCGAAAGTGAAATAACTGACGGTAGAACGTTAGGAAGATGGAAGATAGGAGAACGAGAACGGAGAATGATTGGTGTGGAATTGGAAGTACAATGAAGTCTGAGACGATTGATTGATTATATGCAAATGAAGTATTTACTCGATGGATCTCAGATTTTACCGAGATGTTCCCTAATCATTTATTCAAATACATTCGATTGTCCCTATATGTGTTTTCGTTCATTACATAACTACTATTACTACTACTACTTACGCCTGTGACTCCTCACAAACAAAATCACTACATAAGTCCTTATAGCTAAATCATTTGCTAGTCATTTCTAATAAAACTATTAATGTCAATGTGATTTTTGTTTTCAGTTATTTTTGGATATGTGAATAAAACTATTGAAGAATCAATGAAAGAACAGAAAGGTAATCAATCGAAATAGGTTACATATTTGTAATCTTACAATGAATCATTATCATTGAATATGAGAATGGGTTTTGTGGATATTCTTGTAATTTTAATAGTTGAGACCGATTGAGTCAATTGAGATAGTCAGTCAATGAAGACAATGGTGAATGTGTTGCTCAATTTCTTGGATTAGTTGAAGTTAGATGTCGGTTCAGTGGTGTAGTGGTTAAGCGTTCCCACGCGACACAGATAGATGTTGGGTTCGAATCTCGTGAGACGGGATCGTGGATGATGGTGGTCTAGCTTCAATGGATTCATGAATTCAACGATTCAGATCATTCTTTAAGTAATCGATATGTTTGTGATCAATCATTTTTGAGAATTTCGATGTTCATTCTATGGTTGTATGTTATATGGAAGAGTATGATTTTGACTTGGAATTTTTGTTCTATGAGTATGATTAGCAACCATTTTTGTGAGTGAAATGTTCAAGTCAATATTTATACTTACTTAATTAATTAATTACTTGTTGACTTAAGCAAGTTATTCCTCGTTGAGGAGCATAGACCGCTCACCAGCATTGTTCATCCACCTCTGTTCTTTCCTATCCTTTCCAGCTCCTTGTTTTTATTGTCTCCTTCTAATTCTTGATGTAGTGTGTGTTCTTCAGCCTTCTTCCTCTTCTCTGTTTACTTTCAAGAAGATTTGGTATCTAGTCAACCGATAATACTGTTGTCATAGTAACTACAGAATTGATTAAATAGGAACACTTATCAATACTATTTCATCTAGTAACATCATTTCTTTATTTGTTATTTCCATAGTAACATAATCAATATTCTTTTCTTTTTTTTCTTTATCATTTCTTATATTTTGATATTTAGATCTATTTCCTATGTTTGAAAATAATATTCGAACAACAAATGGTCAACTGAAAGAACAAAAAGGTTATTTTTAAAAAAAAATTAACTTAAATATGATGAATGTAGTAAACTTTAATCACTGTGCAACCCAATTAATACTTACTTACTTACGCCTGTTACTCCTAATGGAGCATAGGCTGCCGACCAGCACTCTCCAACCCACTCTGTCTTGGGCCTTCTTTTCTAGTTCCATCCAATTCTTGTTCGTTTTTCTCAAATCTATCTTTGTTTCCCGGCGTAATGTGTCCTTTGGTCTTCCTCTCCTCCTTCTGCCTTGAGGATTCCATGTGAGGGCTTGTCTTGTGACGCAGTTGGCTGCTTTCCTCAGTGTGTGTCTTATCCACTTCCAACGTTTCTTCTTGATTTGTTCGTCCGCTGGAATCTGGTTTGTTCTCTCACACAGTAGGTTGTTGCTAATAGTGTCCTGCCAACGGATCTGAAGTATTTTGCGTAGACAACTGTTAATAAACACCTGTATCTTGTAGATGATGACTTTCGTAGTTCTCCAAGTTTCCGTCCCATACAGTAGAACTGTCTTCACATTTGTATTGAAAATTCTGACTTTGGTGTTGGTTGCCCATTTTCCAGATGCTCTTCAGTTGTAGATATGCTGCTCTTACTTTGCCGATCCGCACCTTCACTTCTACATCTGATCCACCGTGTTCATCAATGATGCTGTCAAGATATGTAAAGGTTTGTACATCTCCCAAATCTTCTCTTTCAAGTGTGATTCAATTAGTGCGTGCTGTGTTGTATCGGAGAATTTTGCTTTTCCGTTTGTGTATATTGAGACCTACTGCTGCTGAGACTTCTGCTACACTTGTCGTCTTCTCCTGCATTTGTTGTTGCGTTTGCGATAGAAGAGCCAGATCATCTGCGAAGTCTAGATCATACAATTGCATCCTAGATGTCCACTGTATCCTGTGCTTCCCTTCGGATGTTGACGTCTTCATGATCCAGTCGTTCAACAGAAGAAAGAGAAAGGGTGAGAGTAAGCAACCTTACCTGACACCGGTCTTTTCTTCGAACGTCTCTGTCAACTGTCCTCCATGAACGATTTTGCAGTTTAATCCACCATAGGAATTCTGTATGATATTGACTATCTTCTGAGGCACGCCGTAGTGTCGAAGAATATTCCATAGTGTTGTTCTGTCCACGCTGTCAAATACTTTTTCGTAGTCAATGAAGTTGATAAAGAGTGATGAATTTCATTCAATTGATTGTTCTACAATGATCCTTAGAGTTGCGATTTTGTTTGTACACGACCTATCTTTACGAAATCCTGCCTGTTGATCTCGATGTTGGGCGTCTACGGAGTCCTTCATCCTGTTTAACAATACCGTGTTGAAGACTTTTCCTGGTATTGAAAGAAGAGTGATTCCCCTTTAGTTATCACAGTTGCTGAGATTGCCTTTCTTCGGTATTTTGACCAAAAGTCTTTCTTTCCAGTCTTTTGATACCTGTTCCTCATTCCAAATCTTATTGAAGCGTATGTGGAGTATCCTTGCAGTTACCGCTACATCTGCTTTCAGTGCCTCTACTGGAATATTGTCTGGTCCTGCTGCTTTGCCACACTTGATTTGTCTGATGGGCATGCTTATTTCTGCAGTTTTTGATGGGCCAACATCGATTGGGAGGTCCGTGAGTGCTGCTTCGATGTTGGGTGGGTTCAGTGGGGCTGGTCTTTTCAAGAGTTCTTTGAAGTGTTCTACCCACCTGTTTCGTTGTTCTTCAATGTTGGTGATTACCTTGCCTTCCTTGCTATCCACTGGTCGTTCTGGTTTACGGTGATTTCCAGAGAGTGTCTTTGTTGTGTCATACAGTTGTCTCATGTTTCGTAGATTGGTTCAAGTTGGACATTAACACCATTAAATATCAACTCAGTGGTCTATAGATCGAACGTTCGCGAGCGAGTTCGAAGATCCTGGGTTTGAGTGGTTTAGGTACAGGACCGTGGATATGCACCAGTGAGCAATTCCATACTATGACGAAACGATCGTTTAGTGCTTACAGGTATTCCATGGTGATCTATCTCGAAATGACTCATGAATTCAACTATTCAATATAAATATAAATAACTGATAATGTTGAATCATGTTAGCAGTTTCAATAAGATTAGAGAGATTTCAATAGACATAACAACTAACTCAACCAAACATTCTTTAGAAAAAAAACATAAAAGTAAATACCCCCCCTGTTTTTCTTTACTTTCTGTTCTGTTTTTATTTATTAGATTTAATCAATGAAAATTTGAAAAATCAAAGTAAAACTATCGATCAATGTAGGTGAAATAAGGATGAATGTGTTACGTAATCATGATTCTTATTGTAGTTATTGACTGTGCAAGTAAATTCAATGCAGGTCAATTGGGATTAGAAGTTATAAGAGGTATGAATGTTTGTTTAATTACTGATATATTATTTGATTAGTCAATAAAGTTGATTTGATTAGTTCATTAATGCTTACAGGTTTCAATTGTTGAGATCATGAGTC